TCTCTGCCTGTTGCATGTCCGGGCATGAAACTGCAACCTGTTGCGCGTCCATCGTTTTGAGTTGCCATAAAGCATCTCGCAAATCCGGGTGCACATAAAGCAGCACCATGTCGCAAAACCACAAGACGGAGTTTCTTTACGAAAAATAAAATTATTTTTTTTTATACTTTATTTTCTTGTGCATAAAGTTAGAGTATGTATAGTGACAAGACAACACTAATATATTTGCAACAGACTATTTAATGATAAATTTTATGTAATAATTTATACAATTAGGTTAGGAACGATAGAAACTATAGAAGACAAATGGCACGATAGACACTTTTCTATCGTCCAGGCGATATATATCGTCATATCGCCCAGCACTACTTGAAACTTTTTTTTTTTTTTTAACTTGAAGCTTAGAATGTATTTTATTATGAAGAATAACCCTTTGATTTCTTTGATGTGTGTGTGTGTGTCAGTGGAAAATGAGAATCACTGCGACTTTGTTAAGCTGAGGGAGATGCTCATATGCGTAAATATGGAAGACCTGAGAGAGCAGACCCACACTCGGCATTACGAGCTCTACAGACGCTGCAAGCTTGAAGAGCTTGGTTTCAAAGACACAGACTCAGAGTGCAAACCTGTCAGGTATGACGTCACAAACCCATGCATACATCCACAAAATGAGAAAATGCATGGGCATATGACTTACAGCTGAGTTATGTGTGTTGCAGTTTGCAGCAGACGTATGAGGCAAAGCGTCAGGAGTTTCTGGTGGAGCTGCAGAAGAGGGAGGATGAAATGAGGCAGATGTTTGTGCAGAGGGTAAAGGACAAGGAAGCGGAACTAAAGGAGGCTGAAAGAGAGGTATACAGTGCATACATGCAAACTGATGTCCTCACAACACACCTTAAGCAATGTGCTTTTCGCCCCGAGTTTCCTATTCTTTATATTTAATAGACAAATAAAATCTCGCATCAGCTGAAGAGATTAAAGTAAAAATGTGTTTCCTATTGGGGAAAAATAAAGTCAGCTTTTCCATTTTTCCCCATTAAAGAAGTCATTTATTTATATTCCGCTTTCAGTTTTATGCTCTATTATAAAAAAAATTCACTGATGTTTTGTTTTCACCTAATCAGTCTACCTTTCTACACTTTTACATTCAATTTGTTTGACGTGTGAAAGTAAGTATTATGTAATGAACATGTGTTGTCACATCTCATTCTTTCAGCTCCAGAGTCGTTTTGAGCAGCTCAAACGCCTCCATGCAGAAGAGAAAGCTGCTTTGGAGGAGAAGAAGCGGCTTCTTGATGACGACCTAAGCTCCTTCGGCAAGAGAAAAGCTGCTGCCCAACTCCTGCAGGCCCAGAGCCTCACTGCCAATGGCAAGAAGGACAAAGACCGGAAGAAGTAAGAGAATTCTGCAAATACCAATGCCTGTGCTTTTATGGAATACTGGGGGGCGAGTCATACTGGACATCTGAGTAATGTGTTAGGAATAAATAGATTCCACATTGCTTTTTGGAAATGAAAATTATCAACATACAGACGGCTGAATTCATCAAACCAAAGAAAAAATGATGGCTTAAAATTACAGTTGATTTTTGTGAAGTTATCAAAAAACTCATGACTCCTCGAGTGATGCCACTGACCAGCCAATCGTGGCATGCAGTCTGTAGATGTCATATTTTTAATACCTGCTCAGATTGCTTGGAACCCCGGCTGGTCAGGTACTATTTTAGTATCTGGTACCAGGTACTATGACCTAATGGAAAACCCTGAAAAGTCGATCTGAGTAGGTAATAATGGAAAAGGAGCTATTGTTGCCTCTTAGTGCTCCTGTTGTTAATTTCATAAACACCTCTGCTCCTTAACTGGCCAGATCAATACCCCAGAAGTTTACCTGGCGTGATGCTATACTTTGATTAAAAAGTGTTCCTTTATACATATATAATCATAATATCATATTGTGAGTAAGCACCCCTGCACAGGTCATTAATTACTTGTTCTCTAAGAGACAGTGCAGATGAAGACATACTCATTGAACTCAAGGGTATCAAATCTGATAACTAATGAGGATGTTTAAGATCTGTGCACATGTAAGATGTTTAAGTTATTGTCACTGATTAACTGCAAACGGGAAATTCTGTAAGTTGCTCATATGTCTCTCTCTTGTTCTTTTTTTCAGTTCTGGTTTCATGTGAAGATTCTCAGTTGTGACCAGCAAAACTGGTGACATTATACCCCACACCCTTTCCACACCCCTGTGGCCAGTTGTAACACTAAAGAAACCGCCCACATAAATCAGTTCAACAAAGTCCAAAATGGGTTTTAAAATGAATCATGTATTTAATTTTTTATCTTTCTAGCAGTGAAGTGGTTCCTGTGAGGTACAATTCACTTTCAGCTTGTCAGCACCATATGTAATAATCCATCACCATTTTTACAGGTTTGTCTAGTGTTTCTGTCATTAAGAGTTGTCAGAAGTGTCACAGGATATTATATTTCCCTGTTTCTTTCTAGTTTTTTATATTCTCTTTGTTTGGTACACCACCTTGATGCTCTAAATCTTCAATCTGAACATACTAGCATTAACTAAAAAAAAACCCCCCAAAAACACTGTTAGGAACCTCACACGTTCTCCAAAGGGAACAAATTGGTTCAGAGTGTTTCACTTCTCTGCCGAGGTTTACAGTTAAACGGTTTTCTGAGGAGGGTAAAACAGAGGCTTGGTTTGGGATTAGGTACATGTTACTGTGTATTTTTATACATATATTTTTTGTTTTACTTGCTCTCTTATTTTCATTTTTATTTTATTTTTTTTATATATTGACACAAACCGTTGACGCTTGCAGTCCTGTCTGTATGAGAAGAGCTGACTCACGGGGAAAAATGCATCACACCGAGTCGCTGTTTGAGGGAGAATTGTATTTCTCTGAAGACTGTATTCTACATATTTCTGTTCATCGCTTTTCGGACTTTTTAACTGTGTGAAACCCTTTCTCAGCAATACTCCAGCATAAACCGCTGCTGGTTTCAATGATTTAAAAAAAACAACCCAAAAAACTTACTGTATTTACACTAGTTAAAGGTAATAGTGCCTTATCTGTATTAAACCTAAAAACTACGTTATCCAGTTTGTGATCACATCCAGGGAAACACATCGATGCCTACTGGATAAATGCTTGCCTGAGACACATTTGTACTACACTTATATTTAAGGAATAAACAGTATTATATGGGAGCTTTTCTTCTTTCTAAATAAATCTTTGTATTTTTATGATGATGGATTGTGTTTGTCTACTTCATTAAAGGCTGGGATGTTTATAGGCAACACATCTACTGGTACCATCTACTGGTACAGCGTGAGGTTCAGACTGTGATGTAATGAATGAGGACTGATTTAACCGTACCCACAGTCTGTTTGCACTGGCTTCAAAGATTTGACAGTGGAAGAGCTACAAACTGAAATGTTATGTCCATGTGTAATGGCATCATTGCAGTCCTGCCAAGGAATTCCCCCAGGATATCTAATTGTGGAGATTATTACACTATTAAATGTACTGTTGGTCTGACATTATACACTGTATTTGGGGGAAAGCATTTCTTTAGCGAGGCCTGCTTTTGCCTCACTAAAGTTTTATTGTTGGTTGCTGACACCACATCTAATCACTGGAATAACACTTTTAAGGCATTTTCTTTTCTTTTATACTAAAAGAAAAGAAAATGCCTCCATCTGTGTGGTTCAGTTAGAAGAAATGTTAATGTCTACATTTCGTTTTCCTTTTCTCAGAAGATAAGTGGAAGAAGCTCTCCCTTTGCTTTAGAGTAAGATTTAGTAGGTAACAGCAGCTTAACATCTCCCCTACCCACCACTTGCTATATCTGAACACGAACACACACACACACACAAAGGGAGTGCCCTATATTGCCTGATAAAGGACTTGTTCCCTGCAGTGTCTTACCCTACAGCCCTCTTTCCCTTAGTGCGACTCTGGAGCTGGCACACAGACAGGTGGAAAGACAGCTCTGGCATAAAGCAGAGGAATGCTGATCGATTCCTTGCAGGAGCCTGCAGCACCTCACTGGTATAATAAGCTGAGAAGTGGATACCTAGAGGAGAACCATTTCACCCAGGAAAACTGGAGAATGGGCACGTGTGTGTGTGTGTATATATACAGACACCTTCAGCTGCTCTCTAGGAGATTCAGCTCCCAGGTGGGAAGTGATTTCACCCAGTTTTCCTGGAAGAACACAATCTGTGCACTGCAGAAATCTGAAAAATCAAAGAAAAAAAGTGCTGCATGCCCTCTCTCTGCTTTAAACGCAGCAGTTTGAGTGTTAGAGTCGAGTTTTTTATGACTGGGTTTACAGCTAAGATAGCTGTCATACACCTGCACTCGCACATGCAGACATTCCCGTACACACACCCCTGTCACCTTTTGCTAGTCACTCTAAATGCAAATGGGGGTGATCGCTGGAGACAGGCTTGACTCGTGGAAAGATAGGGTTGTCATTTAAGGGGAGTGCCGCTGACGCTCTGAAATTTACCAATTACACACCTCATCCACGCCAGCGCTGGCTTTTAGAGGCCAAGAGGAAGAAGATAAGAAAGGAGGAAGATAGAGATTTGAGAATGAGTCAAAGAGACAATGGGGGAAGGATAAAAGAGGAAGAATGTCTCCTTTATGCCTAAACACCTCTTCACACACTTCACTAATGATACGCCGACAACCATACCTGGAGTGTTGCTCCCACAGCTTTTCACAAGATAATTATGATTATAGCAAGATACAATATGACTCTCCAGGATGGATTCTCTAATGGCCAGCTGTGAAATCTTAATGGGCTATACAGGTAATGTCCTTGTTTTTGTACCAGGAGCACATAAATGTGAATTGATTCTGCCACTTCCTCTTTCATGACAATCATAAAGCTGCAGGCAACATGTAGGGAAAAACACACTGAACAGCTGTTTTAAAACAAAGGCATTTATTGCGAAAAATGCACTTGACATGAAAAAACAATCAAATCAACCACGGGTCATCAGTACAAGACGATGTATAATGATCACATGGTAGAGAGCGCTGGGCGTGGCCAGCACAGAGCATGACTTCAATGGCACAAAAGGCCTATAAATATTCTGCACAATATAGAATAATATATATACTTTTTTTCCTCCCTCTGTTTCTCTCACTGCTCTGCTGGACTCTTTCCTGGAGAGGCATGAGTATCCATGCTCCACCGAACTGTTTTTTTTAATTTATTTTTTTTAATAAAGTTTCTTTTTTATGTAAAGAGCTACATACAGATGCCTCCTCCCAACCTCTCTCATCACACACACAAACACCCAAGTATCCATAGGAACAAATATGGCCAACATCTAAGTCAAGATGGCAGGGTGACACAGCTCAGGCTTCCTGGAAGGACAAACCAAAATTAACTATTATTATTTCAAATTCATCATCTGAAACAAGCTCAATCGAAACAGGAGCGTCATACAAAATCCAACAATGTGTTCGCGTCCAGTGGGAGCTACCGCTGCTGTTCAAAGCCTGTTCACATTTTCCACAACCAGGAAGCTGAGGCGAACGACGAGCTTACATCACGTAATCAAAACACATGAAGACAGTTTGCAAAAACCAGCGGTTCAAGTTATTTTGCGTAAAGTGACCACCGTGCAGTGGTTTTATTCCTGACTTTTTGACTCTTGTAAACGCTTTCTCCTCACATCACCCACCCCAAAGAAAAAAAAAAGAGAAAAAAAGAACAAACCGGGCAAAGAAGGACTTGTGCTTAAGTTTGACTCTATAGAAATTAAAGTCCTCAGTTTAGCGGGCATCCAAACAGATCCAAACTTTGCTCAGTGTTTCTTCGGAAACTGTTCTGGGATCCGCTGGTTTTCCGTCTTTGTGCGGATTGAAAAGCAACCAGCAAACTTATCACACTGATACAAACAAAACAAAGAGGGAAAGAGGGCACTGATCTACCTAGAAGGAAAAGTAAGAGCGTATACTTGTGTTTGCGTGTGTATTGACATTTGTAGGCACTGGGGTTTGACTGACAGGTTTTGAAGGCCAATGTAGATATGTTCAGATTGAAGTTTCCCATCACAATATCAAAAAAATTTGGCATTTACTTTCCCTTTTGTTTTTTTCAAGGTAAATAAACTGGCACTTTTAATCGACTGACCCCAAACGCCCCACTGAAACACATACAAAGATCATAGTCTGGTACACTTGTATAAAATAACATCACATAGACAAAATCGACCAGTTAAACATTAAACGTGTTAAGAATTGAAGCGAGTTTCTTCATATAAGTAATGTTAACGGAAAACAGCCTAGCCCTAGTCTGTATGTGTTGGAAAAAACTTTAATTTAGAGTCCAGTATATTTATTTTGCTTGTTTTTCAAAATTATATGCCTACTGTTCAGAAAGCACAATATCTCACAGCATCAAAAGTATCCGGGAGGGAAAAAAATGGTTTCTAGCGAATTCGACGTTGTAGTCTGATTTAGCATCTGTTTATGTTATGTGCTTTTTTCTTCAAGTATCCACTGATTTCGCTGGAAGGTCTCAGATTTGATCATTCGGTCTGATAATTTGTGGAAAACACGTGACAGTAGCTTCCAAACATTTTGTCCTCTAGAGTTTGTAGAGTTTCCTCTCTGAGGAAGAAAAAAAAAAAGACCAAAATGCGACAAGTTTTGTGCCATTTATCTTGTGGATGTTCTTTAAATTAGCTAAAATTGTATGCATGTTCAAAAAAGTGCTCTATAAATAAAGATTCTCAGAGCAGTGTAGATACCTTTTTGTATCTACACTGTTCATTTGATCAACAAAATATAGCACAATGTCAGTTCGACTTCAGGGACATCAATCTGTGCAGGTAGGAAGCACGAGGAACCATTGTGGTGCACATGAAAGTGACAGCAAGACAGCCCACCACAAAGGGAATTACAGGAATTATTAAAGGATTTAAAGGTGGTGGCCACAGACCATTCCTCTCTCCTCATTCCTCCTCACTCATTTTTCAGTAGTTTTTATTCTGTCTAGTGTCCTTCTCACTACTGGCAGCATGTGATGATACTAGCAGGTTATACTACAAAGGGAGTTTTCTGTGTCTTCTGACTAAATCACCGTGGTAACTTGTGCTGATCACATAAAGTGGTCAGGGTCAGGTTATGTTCAGAGTTTTGGTTTAAAATTGACCGGGAGCTCCACTTTCTTGCTGATTCTTTTATTTACAGCATGTTTTAAGCGGAATGTAAATTGTCTGCAGGGTGAATATGTATTACGTGCGCAAGCTGTTAACATCATGAATGAATCAGAGCGTTAAAGGTTCAGCAGTGCAAACTGGGCATTGGCATGATACATTTATTCATTTGGTGATGCAGAAAATCTATAAATGTTGTTATACTTCACACGAATCTGCTCTTAACTCTCTTTTAGACTTCTGGAACTGCAGCTAAAGAGCGCAGAACACACACCAATCAATAAAATTACTTTTACTTTGTTCTGCTGACAAACTAAAGCAATTTCCATCCAGATGAGCAGGCTCAACGTTATGGCATGTCTGTACGTGATCATCCATCATGACACTTTGACACAATTTAGCACGGATGGCTTAAAACTGATATGTAACTTTGATGTTTAATTGTATCTATTTGAAAGTTTCAGAGCTCTGTAATTGTTTGGGTTTTATGGAATTAAGCTAAAGCAAAGAAAGCCTGGCTTTGTTGAACTTTGTAGTATATCCCTCTGCTGTGTCTCCCAGCACATCACTGACTGGCATCAGCAGACTACACCAGAATCGGCATGTCAGCTCTTGGTGGCATCATAAAGTTTGCTACGGCATCTTCATGCTCTTTCACATCTTTCACATGTGCTCAGTGTGAACCTGAACCAAAGCAGGTGAAACTGATTCACAATGGTTTGTGCTTCGTAACTGTACAGCATGACGTCCCTGATATTTTATTTACTTTAGTCTGTACTGTGATGATCAAATGAATGAATTTTTTTGTGAGCAGTGTATTTTTCTTCCCACATAACATGGATGTAGGAAGGAGACTCAACAGTGCTTAAGCCATAAAGGCTCTGTGCTTAGGATCAGGTTAGAGCCAATTAGAAATCTAAGCAGTCAGCCAATGAACAACCCTCGCCTGTGTGTTTAACTCTGCCTCGTTTAAAAAAATAGGTGAGGAAGTGCCTCGTGCCCTGTACCTGTGCTCTTTGACCGCCTCTTTCTCTCTGATGTACCGCCGCACACACAGCGAGTGAGTCAGGCTCTGAGTGTTGCTGTGCTTTTGTCTCCACAAGCAGAAAAACAGGTAGGTGGTTGTGGCAGAACCTAAACCAGGCAAGCCTGCATCTAAACTCTGGATACGAAAGAATCACAGAAGCAGACAGACTACACTTTCACTAAAGCAGAACAAAATTATTTGACACGATCTGAGTAACAAAGTCAATTCTGGCAGTTGCATGATGAAAGTTTGTGTCCTCTGAGTTTCCCCTCTCAGCTATTCTTTCACGAGCATAGAGTCTGTGCAGTTTTGGTTTGGCAACGTTGTCTCAGAATAGATAAAAAACTGTCGAGGAAAAAGCTGAGGAAGAGGAAATACTCTTCGCAATCTTTGTACTTATTTGATGAGAACTGTCAATAATGGAAACTTTGTTCTTTTTACATTTCAAGCTGACATCTGAAAAAAATGTTTTAGTCATTTCGCCCCACCAAAGAAATTTGTGCTTTCTTAAAGAAAAATCATATTTGCGCTTAAAACAAGTATGTCACAAGCAGCAGTGGAAATCCCCTTTGTCAAGTAAATACTGTACATTAGTAAAATACTGTAAATGTAGATATTCTGGAAGGTTGTATCAAATATTACCAAGTGCATTTCTTTTGTTTCTAAACTCATACAGAAGTTCAAAAACAGCATTATAAATACAAATGAATTCTTTAAAGGAGTTTTGGTGTGACTTTGTGTTCCTTTTTACATTCAACAATTCAGCTTAATCCAACTGATGGGGTCTGTTTAAATCAGATGTAATAAAAAAAAAAACTTGAATAAAAATAAGCGGTTCACCATTATGTTATGATATAGAAATAGAAAAATTAATGACCTAATTTAGACTTTCTGTGACACTGGCTTTTAAATTACAAATCCTGTGACAGACAGCACGGCAACATAAAATATCTATTTCAACATTTTTTAAAAATGTGATAATGCTACATGCATCGTTAACAAATAATATATCGGGTTGAAAAGAAACATACTGGTCGTAGATTCGACACAGAGATGTGCTTACAATGATTCTGGAGTGTAGGCTTATGTGCTTCCTCATCACCTGGCTGTATGTTCTCACTTCTCAGACAAAGAAAGCACCCGAATTTAAGTTCTGAGGTCTCAGAGGAAAAGCAAAGCTAATGCTTTTTTGAGCTAGTGTTTGCTGGTGGATGATGCCGAGGAGGAGAATTAGGAGGCAGGGTTCGTCTTTCTGTGCTCTTTCAGTCTGCGTGCCTTCAGTAGTCAACATCACGGGTCTGGAAACCGAGTCTGATGGAGCCCCTCTGACCCAACACTGGGCGGATAATGGGAAAAGCTGCCCTGCTTCCTGTGTGGCTGAGCTGGTCGAGGCAGGGACGAGCTTTCTTGTACATTATCAGTGTGTATATGTGTTTGTGTGTGTAGATAAGTTGGACTGATATGGATTACTATAGCCAACACCAATAATTAATAATTAATAATATCATTTCTTTATGGATTATAAAGTATGCTCATTCTGAATTATATTTTCCAATAGAATCAAAAACATTTTAGTTCCAAACAGATTACTTGGCAAATATAAATAACAAAAAAATCTCCTTTGTTTTCAAGGTTAGCCGCCTCTTAAGGCCTTGTTGAGCTTTAATCCAATAAAACAAAGATAAATCTGGGGAACCTAATATCAGCCCAACCTTGGATTTTGTGTGTGTGTTCATGTGTTTTATGACTCAGTAACAGGAACAATGTGTGCATTCATTCGTCCACTTTTTGCAGTTCAGAAGCTCTCGACAAAGCTGCCTGGAAACAGGCCGGTCTGACCCGTCCTCTGCAGAGTGCCTTTGTACCAGCCGTCGTCCCTCTTCTTATGGACGAACACCACGTCTCCCTCCCGCAGCTCGATCTCTGCCTCGCTCTGGGGTGGGTACGGAACCACCACACGATACCTGCCTCACGGAAACACAGAGTAGCAAAGTCAAGATCGCATGCTGGGACGATCCTCCTAACTAAATGATATCAGCCAAATGATCAAAATCTCTGAGCAATGTTTCCAGCTCCTTATTGAATCTATGCAAAGAACATAAATTCTGAAGGCAAAAGGGGGCCAACCAGATACTAGCAAATTGTCAGTGAGTATAAATGTTACAATTTAGATGACTAGTTAGTCACTTCTGTGGAATATCATACTTAATTTTTTATATTATATATATATATATAAACCGTTTCTTTTTTTTGAGAACCAGAGATTAATTCCACAGTCCCGTTAAATCTTCCCCAGTGAATGATGTTTTTGTAAGTGCGTGATAAGTTGTTGTGATAACCATAGCGCTGATGTTTTGGTGTAATGCTGTCAAACACAGGGGACGAGATTTGTTTTTCCTTCTCTGCTTTTTTCTTCGCACAAACAGAATAAGCATCATTCTGTGATAACCAGCGTTCCCATTACACCAGCATCCTGCTGACAGTGATAATTTCATGCTAAATGCATTATTCCCCCTCAACGTCCAGCTGAGGAGTCTTTAAGTGCGTTCCAGCATTTACAGGTTTTTTCTAAGGAGGCACAAAGTGTGTGTGTTAGTGTGTGTTCATGGGAAAGAAAAAGAATGAATGTTTTCATGAGTAGGATGGCTTACAGGGAGCTGTCTATGTGTACACAGGCTTTGGCTCTCTTATACACCTCTTGCCTGCCAGTCAAATCAATGCACATTACTGTAAGCAATCTCAGTCTGCCATGCCTGAAAACAGTCGACCACGCCAGGCAAGTGGCTATCCGGTCAGACGAGAGCGTCTTTCAGTGCTGGAAATTCAACACTTTCCTATTGAAATCAACATTGCTATAGAGAGTAGAGCTCATTTATTTATGCTTTGAGCACTGAAATGCTTGATGTCAAACCTAAGGAAACATTTACAGTCTGTAGAGGACACCGTTTTATTGCTTAAAACCTTTGCTTAGTAAAGTAATCCAAAGTTTAGTTACATTACTTTAGTGTTGTAAATAACATAGAAATGCATTAAGCGATGCAATTTAGCTAAGAAGGTAACCAGTGTTTTGTAACCTCTTCTATTTCACAGGTAACACACTGTCTGTGTTTCACCATAGTATTGCGATGTGTTCTTATCAACACTTAAGCTCACATATCGCAGTAAGTGTAGAACAACTAACATAGATGGCAGCATATATAACAAAAAACTACCACCTCAAGAGAAACCCGGTATTACTTTTCTCTTTGTGGGAATGCAGCACCAACTGGTCATGAAGGCACCTCTGGAGAGGCTCCCAGCTTTGTTTTCATCCATTGTCTGCTTATGGTTTATTATCCCACACTCTCACAAGATTTGATGCCAAAATTGCTTAAACTTGTCAGAAAATATTTGCTGTCATTTCCAGCTGGTCAGAGTGTTCGTTTACTCGCAGTATTTACGATATTGTCAGTGTTCTGCGCTCGCACATATCCAAATATTACCTTGTCTAACTTTTTAATCACTCTGGAGAGAAACAATATAACGGATTTGTTTGAGGAATATTGCATCGCCTGCAGCCTTGTTCTGCACAGTGACAATAAACTTGTGCTTGAGCCAAGTTCATAAAAGCATCACCTCGGCCTGCAAGCGTGTTTGTTTATCTGTGTTTATCAAGCGGCAACCTCCGGGGCTGGAAAATAAAGCCAACATGGAAGTGCCAAACACTCCTTGAAGGCTGGCATTAAAACCAAATAATCCACATGTTAAAATGCCCGGATACACAGCAGAATTTAACCTATTCTGGCACAAAAAAAAAGGGTTTTGTCTTTAGAGCCAATATTCCTTTTCATGAAAACTGCAGAGGTTGTGAATTTTGGCCATGTGGCTGCTTTAAGTGACAGGCGCTCAAAGAGTTTGAGCATCTGCCTGTTACTTGATCCCTCTCTCAATCAAGTTGGTGGTATTGGTGTCTTCTGCAGAGTTTTTGATGTCTGTGTCTATACAAACTATGGATTCAGCTTGAGAACCAGGCTTACTTTTATTGACTGATAATTTTTTACTCCACCTCTCATCCAAACATCCAATCCAAACCACTCTCTCAAACATACAAATGTTAAGCTCGTAACAGCAGGTGGCTAAATCCACCTGTTGTGTACAGACTATTTAAGTGTGCGCGTGTGTGTTTTCATGTGTCTGTGTGCCCACCTCTCTCTGGACAGGGGTTTGGGTTCAGGTCGGAGGACCATCAGAGCATTGCCAGCACGTGTTGCCGGGGGTGACATGGGGAAGTTGGTATCCAGGGAACCGGACTTTCTGTGCAGAGGCTCCAGCCCAATTGCCCCCGCCATGTCGCTCTCGATTGGACAGGAACCGGCTCGTCCTTGCGACGCCATCGGACAGGAACCTGAGCGGGCGTGGTGGTGATGGTGGTGCACGGGGTCGGTAGCCACGGCGCCTTGACCAGTGGGGTCATGGGTGGGTGGGGAGGATGGGGGTGAGCGAGGTTTCTTCTTTGCTGCGGCGCCCGATAAGAGTTTTAATAAACCTCCTGCTTTCCTCTCCTTCTGAATACAGAGGCATGAAGAAAAAGATGCAGAGGAGGATGGAGGGATAGAATAAGGGAGGACAAGAAAACAAATAACTCAGAGCTAGTAAGGGTCATCGTTTTTCTATATAAAGGTATATTTCGGAAGGCCTTTCTTGATAAGAAACTAATAAAAGTGATGTTGTAAAAAAAACAGGTCAGGAGGGTATTGTTTGTTTCCTATAACTAAATAACAAATACATTATAACATGGAGAAATACAGAAAACAATAGAGATGGCAAAACAACGCAAGCTTTACAAGTGTCAGAACATTTCAGGTATGATTTACAACACATTAAATATTTTTATGCATACTGCTTTGCTGCCTCTTATGTTGGAAAGGAAAGAAGAGTATCTATCAAAATATTCCAATTACAATATTTAGTGTAACTAAATACTTAAATTCAAGGCAAAGCTAAGATTACAAGTGTGGTCAAAAGTTTAGATACATGTTTACTTGGGCATGAATGTCGTGGCTTTTAATGAATTCTTTGAACCATTCTTTTTCCAAAGAGGAATGATTGTACAGCATACAACTTGTAACTTTAAAGTTTAAATGTAACTATTTTGGATCCACTCCACAGGCTCAAATATATTCATACATCAGCAGTCTCCCAGTCATGGCAGGCTTGAGCCTTTGTGGTTCCTGGGTTGTCCGTCAGCATCCTAACCAACGTCATCTCATCTGAGGGTAACAATCCTGATCTTCCTCCGGACTTTAGCAAAGTGGTGAAACAACCAAAGTTAATAGGCCTTGATCTTGTCAAGTTAACACACATTGTAAAATCTTCAGCACTGCTTATTAAAAGATTTAAGAGCATGTATGTATATATTTGAACCTCTATGTATACCTTTTACCCTATGTGGATTAGATAATATCCATAATAAATAAAACATTGTGCCCCAAAATTCTTGTTTTTCAAAGTAATCAAAGCTGTATGATCTACAATAATTCCCCCCTGGGAAAAAAACAGTTCAAAGAAATGATTAAAAGCCACAAATGACCACGGCATTCAGACCCATGGTGAGCAACTTCTGAGCACAACTGTACCAGTCTACCAAGCTATGATTGACAGTTTTACAGGTGTCCCAGTGACAGCAAGCCAAAAGTAAAACTACCATTGTTCTTAGTTAACTAATATTACTGTTAATTTTTTCTTTATTAATCACTATGAAGTATTTTGTGTAAGTCTGGAATACATTGAAAACGCAGCTCGAGTCTTCTTTCCTGCATTAGCATGCCTTACACTCATGACTTAGAAAGAAGGAACCAGTGGATATGTGAGATTGTTAAGAAATCTGTGTTCACAGTGTGAATGCCCGTGTTACACTGAGTGCTAACTGAGGAAAGTGGTTGGGTATGTGGTCTTCAAGCTGATTACACATGCAGCTGACTATGGTGTATTGATTATAGAGCAAGCGTTTCTTAATGGTGTCTGTGAAGGCAGATTCATGCCTTTTCATACAGGCTTCACTGTGATTGATCATGGACGTGCTTGGCAATACTGTCCATTCAGCTCATACAGCTTGCTGTGATTTCACACCCTTAATCATGATGACACGAATCAATAGTAAGCATGTCTGAGCATGATTTCAGCTGTTTTGGAGACGCACACAGAGAATTCATATTGGCTCTACCTCTGTCTCACCTATTTTGGTTGCTAGATCTATCATCAGATCTTTCTAC